ACAAAAAAAAAAAAAAAAAAAAAAAAAAAAAAAACACGACAACACACAGAAAAGTGAACGTGCACGACCAACGCACCGGCACTATGCATTGTTACCTATATATGAGTCGCTGTTGCCACTGGTTTGCAGTAGCAGAAAAGGCACCTTCGCTGATATCTGGCACAGCAAAGAGGAGGTCATGTCCAAGTCTTTTTCTTTGAAGAGCGTTCTGAATTACTTCTTCTATGACATGCTTTATTCTCTCTCTCCAAGCTTGTCCAATTCTTCGTCCAGACAAGTCGGGTACCAACCCAATGGGCTTTCTAAGTTAGCTCATTCGGTATCGTGCAGGATGTGTCCTGAGTTCAAGTCCACTTGGCTTGGTGTACACGCATGTACATTCCCAGCCAGCATTAGCGGGACCGTAGCTAAGATTCTGGGCTATTTGTAAGCCGTCATCCATTAGAGGGGGGGTGGGGCCTGATTCCCCCATTCCCGATTACGAGGTGCACGGGGCTCTCGCTTACACTGTACATGGGTGTCCAGGGTCTCACCCAGCAACAGCATGCACTGCCATGCAGGCAGGAACAGAATCATGTAGGATGATGGGTCCACCCACCCAAAGTGGGCTGGGGCAACCCACCCAAAGTGGGCTGGGGCAACTTTTAATTACCCCATCGCAATTATTCTATCAATGGACTACGAGCAGCCCCTCGTGCAACGACGGTGGGAACATAACATAGAACAGATAGGTTCATGGCAACGCCTGAAGCCCTCAAGGTGGGCAAGTGGCACTAACCAATAGCCAGTTGGCCCAGTATTAGCCACCACTCTATTACCATCTTCCCCCGAACACAAACCACTCTCATTTCCATTGAATCGGACCCGGAAGATGGCTTGTATACATTCATAACCAGGGTGTGTTATGTTCAGAGGACGACGGTGGCGTAGAGTGCGAGTCCCCCGTGCAACTCAGGGCAGGATTATTTTTTCCAAAGCACTTAATAGGGTGGGGCAAGCCAGGCCAGACTCTCCTGAACTCATGTCCAAACAAAGACCTATGTTTTCAATGAGAGAAAAGTGGGAAAAAAGTAAACACAGTGAAGCTCCTCATGAGAGGACAAGTGAGAAACAGGACTTAGGGGCAAAGGCGGAGATGTGAACTGTTACAGACTTCGTCCCATATTCTGAAAAACAATCCTGATGCAGGGTTGAATGACCACTGAATCTGGGACTGAAGCCAGGCCAGATTCAGTGGTCCCAAATTTGAGTAACTGCCATGGGGAGTAACTACTTTCTCCTAATGAAGTTCGTGTGGAATTTTATCGACTTCGATCTTTGATTCATCTTTGATTGATCTTTTGATTCATCTTTGATTGATCTTTCGATTGATCTTTTGATTGATCTTTGATTGATCTTTGATTGATCTTTTGATTCATATCTTTGATTGATCTTTGATTGATCTTTGATTGTTTGATTTGATTGATCTTTTGATTCATCTTTGATTGATCTATTGATCTTTGATTGATCTTTGATTGTGTGTGTGAAATCTCACCTCTGAATGGTACACAGTACTACAGACATATGATCTTCAACTTCAATGTTTTTTTTTCCCTCAATTCTCTATTTTTCGTCAACTGCATTTTTTCCCAACCTTGGACATCCGATTTATACCATCAGTGTTTCTTTCCAGGCCACACTGGGAGTGGCCGTGTAGTAGGAGGCAGAGCCGCAGAGAGCGAAGAGACCAGTTTCGCCGTGTTAATCAGCACGGTCGCACGAAGGGCATGGCGTGGTCGCCGGTCGGAGTTCACTAAACAGACCATCAGTTCGAATCCTTGGAACTAAGGCTAATTGTTCGAAAAACATTAAAAAAAACAAATGCTGGCACATACCCTTTTTGTATGATCCAATAACAATTAGCATTTGTTTCGATCTGCAGCCAGGGCGAAAATGCAATAACAATTTCTATGAATCAAGACCAGCAGCCGGGGATAATACCTCGAATACTGCACCAAACATTTTGCATAAGTTTCGATCAATCTTTATCGGGTGAAATACAGGGTGCTTCGAAAAAACAGGGATTTTCTAGAAAACAAAAGAGATGATCTTCATAAATTAGCTAAATCAAATCGTAGTTTTTCTCATTATCGTTGGTGCTACGAATGAACATAATATAGAAATCATCACCAACCAAGCCCGAGTATGCGCAGCCTGAGGAAAGCGAAAAGAGAAAAACTCGAACAAAGAGAGAGAGAGAGAGAGAGAGAGAGAGAGAGAGAGAGAGAGAGAGAGAGAGAGAGAGAGAGAGAGAGAGAGAGAGAGAGAGAGAGAGAGAGAACAAGTCCACAATACCCGTTTTGTTGCCATCTCGATGAGGACTTCCGCACACTCCTTCTGCCTATCTGTGCTGAGACCTGCAGGAAGCATATGATCAGGCTTACAACTTTTGCATGCAGGCTCAATAAAATAAATTATTAAATTTGAAATTCCACCAGGTTATAGACATTTTTTATTTCACGTTGGCACGTTGCACATAAATATCAAACGATTTTGAGAAGGGCCAAAAATTGGGTCATGTGATTAACAACCTGGGCCCCATATGTATGGTGTTTGGCATTTCCAGTCAGTGCAGCAACCAAGTCAGTGGGTTTATAATCAAGGGCAGATCTAGCTTGATTTCTCTTCAGATGTAAGTGACGCAGGGCCTGCAGTGGTTTCCAGAAGGTGCTGCTGCTCTTCCTGTGCTAGACTCCAGGGGGTAGGTAGGCAGGGGGTGGGGGGGGGGGAAAGAAAAGAAAAGAAAAGAAAAGAAAAACTCCAGGTGGTGGCAGTGTGGGATTAGATCTCGGCAAGGGCCCGAGTCGAAAGGCTCACCGCCAGTGGACTGGAGCCATCAATGACCGACAATTTTGAGGCTGCCCTTATCATCCCCTCAGAACCTTTTTTCTCCCCTCCCCCCCAAAAACACAAACTTTAGCCATCCTCAGAACTCCGAATAGTGGCTTGTCCAGCGATGTTTTGTTATTGATAATAATAATAATAATAATAGGCGACCAGAGTGGCCCGGGGTCACTTGCCCGGCCGGGCCAAAAAAAATAAAAAATATAAAAATAAAAGAATTATTTTAAAATTTTATTTTTTATTCTAAATTTGGTGGAGAATTTCGATGTGACCCTGAGGGAAAAGTTGTTCAGTTTATGTTTCTGCATAACATAGTTTTTTTTCGGAGTTTTTGGATTTTTTCTTTCTTTTTGCTGGGACCTTCCCTGGTCCTTGCACGGGCTTGCCACCCGGGACCCGGGCGGCCCGGCTGGTAGCCTAGTAATAATAATAATAATAATAATAATAATGGACACCACACAGTAGTTCTTAATTAATAACCCCCCTCTCAACAAAGAAAGAAGGCTATCCCTCTGGCATAACATGATCAGTAAGAAACCAGATGCTACTTAATACGCCTGTATAAGGTCGAGGTCCAACACACCCCTATTCTCCGTTCTGTGGCCGTCAATCTCGCTTCCTTTTTTTTCTTTTTTTTTTCAGAGGCCATCGATAATCATAGATCATCATAATCTTCGGCTAGAAAGGAAGAAGCCGGCGGGTAAGTCGGATTTTCCTCCAGCGGGCGCGATTGCCAAGAAGTCCAGTCTTAGAATTAAATGATAGGAAAAAAAATAATAAAATACGTACAGCTCCTTTTATTTGCTTTTCGCCCCTCCTGCAGAGTCCTATGTTTCCAGAATCCAATCAAATGATAGGCATAGTTTTGATAGGCATAGTTTGACAGCAGATTGTTAACAAATCAAACTTGTTTTTTCTTCCCTTTTTCTTTTCTTTTTTCAACAAAGACACAACCCTCTTTATAGGGCCCATGCTTATCTTCTGTGTATCGATTCAATTTTAGCGGATGTCCCCCCTTTTTTTTTTGTAATTTTTTCCCCCCTTTTGATTTTTTCCCCCCTTTTATTTTTTTCTCCCTTTTATTTTTTTCCCCCTTTTATTTTTTTCCCTCTTTTATTATCATTATTATTTTTGTAATCCTCCTCAGAAGACAACCCTCTTTATAGGGCCCATGCTTATCTTCTGTGTATCGATTCAATTTTAGCGGATGTCCCCCCTTTTTTTTTTGTAATTCTTTCCCCCCTTTTATTTTTTTCCCCCTTTTATTTTTTTCTCCCTTTTATTTTTTTCTCCCTTTTATTTTTTTCCCCCTTTTATTTTTTTCCCTCTTTTATTATCATTATTATTTTTCTAATCCCCCTCAGAAGACCCCACCCACCGAAGCCCTCTCCTCAATTTCCCCAGCGCACCCCTACCCCCCCCTGTCCTACCTTAGTGTTAAGTATCCAAGAACGAATGGAACTCTTTTTCATATGATAGGTTTCCGACTTGGCACAGGTACTGATCTGGTCGATGGCGTTAATAAGATAATGAAAAAGACTTCAATTTGTTAAGAGACTGGTGCAATAGATTAGTTAAATTGCTTGGGGCCCAAGAAAGTCGAGAGAAGGCCAGAAAACAAAGGACGGTCATTTTCTATTTCTAATTTCTGGTTTTCTTTACGATCACCTAAAAAAAAAAAAAAAAAAAAAAAAGAAAAAAAAAAGATCAAGGCTGGATGATAAACTATTCGCTCCCTCGCAATGCACTGGTGCCCTGTCCTGGACTCCTTGCTTGAAAATAAGGGGGTCTAGGTACCCCCATAATGAGCGTCCTGGAAGCTTCACGGAAAAAATCTGAGTCTTTGGACGTGAGGGCGTTTTTTTGGGGGGAGGCGCATTGCCGCAGTCTGTTCATGCTCCGATTTGTCTGGACCGTTGGAAAAACGCCATTGGGTATCTCTTTTCTTTTTTTTTTAACACGCGCACACGCGCGTACCCCCCTTCCATTCTGGGGGGTGGCCTTCCGTCTTTTTTCTTTTTTTTTTTTCAACCCCCCTCAGAAGACCCCACCGACCGACAAGCTTAAAATGTTTTTTTTTTTTTTTTTTTTTGACAAGCTTAAAATGTTACAATCTTAACAGAAGCAAGTAGGAATCATCCTTCCCTGCTTTCCCCCGCGTTATCTCATCTTCCATCCCCTTGGCTCGGGAATCTCGTTTCTTCTGAGCTTTTCTTTCTGGTTTTTATGTCTTTCTTCTCTTTTCTTCTCCCCGAGCCTGCGTCTTTTTTTTCCTTTTTCCTTTCTTTCTTTCTTTCTTTTTTTTTGTTGTTGTGTGTGTGTGTGTGCGCCCTGCCTTTTCGATCACTGTGTCGATGCTTGCCGGTAATAAGCAACCGGACTGACGCCCCCCAGAATAGATGTAGTATGTATTTCAGGGAAAAAAAAATATATATATATGTTCTGAGCGGGAAGATGTTCCCGCTAGCGGCGGGAGGCCTGCGCTAAGATTCCCACCTTCTGTCCTGTACTCGTTGTCGTGTTCTCTCGGCGTGCGCGGTTATGGCTAGCCCCCCCCCTCTTCTTTCTACGGGTCGTTTGTCTTCCACTCCACATGCGCGCACACAGAAACCTCTCTCTCTCTCTCTCTCTCTCTCTCTCTCTCTCTCTCTCTCTCTCTC